AGTATTTCATGATCACTCATGCTTTTGATTGAGAGCCTGCCTACAAACTGTTTTAAAACATACTATTTAATTCAACAACTTAAAAATAATCATCAGCTTTGGTTTCTTCTGCAATGGAACTATTACCAATGACTAAAGCATGAATATCACAAAAGGACCACTCCTTGTGAAGACACTTCTTTAGGCCTGCAGACCCACGCTGCCCTCAAATTTCTCCTTTACACACACTCTGTAATTAAAGCTACATTTTACAGTATCCATGAAAATAATATTGAAATAGCCTGTATGATAACAGCAGCACAATCATCCCTAGTTAAGCTCCACTGCAAAACAAAGAGCCTTGAGACAAGCAGCAGGACACCCAGGAGCAGAAAGCAAGAGACCACTTGCAGAAAGCAAACAGCTTTGACACTGAAACTCTCAGAGGTTACATAGTGAAGAAGTTAAATGGGAGACAACAGAACACTGGGAGATGGAAACCAAGCAGGTAGGAGTGGAGCAAGCACTCATTGCAATTACAGGAGACACACGGAAAATAAAAGTTTCCTCCTTTACTTAATTTCTTTCACTGAAGTAAAGGGACTACCTAATGGACCACACATTCAGTTCACTGGTGAGTTTGGGATGAGGAGTGGCAGTCCAGACAAAGCTGCTATAAAAGGGTCTATGCAAAAAGCAAGTGCAAACTTTCCTAACCAACACGATCTCCAGCGTGTGATCCAACTTGCTCTGCAACAAGTCGAATGGCAGCAGGGCAGGCACTTTCTAGAAAGAAAGATCGGATTCTATTTATTCTTCCCTCCCATCAATAAATGCAGACACCTTTTTATTCTCCTCGCTGTCTCCTGACACCTGAAGCATCTTTCCAGGGAGTGACACTTCCCAGCCACTACCAACAGGCATACAGGCTGGGACAGAATGTATTTATTTTATCCTCAGCTGTTGCAACTGATCTCTTCCACCTTCTGTCCCTTCTCCCTGCTTTTCTGCCACCTCTAACTTCCTACTACCTGCCTTTGAAAGTGCTCAACTTTCCATCTCTGTATGCAAGATGAGATGAGAAGAAAGGTTCTTCTCCTGTCATTGAGATGGGCATCAGTAGCTCAGGCACTGCTCTGCAGCAGGGCTGAACTGGACAGGCTCATGACGGAGCTGCTCTTCTCTTTCCCCGGCCCCAAGGACAGAGCGGGACTTCCCAGGGCCTCTCCCACAGCTTCTGTGACCGCTGAAAATGTTTTCACAGGTAGGAAGACCACACAGGTCACCAGGCCAGCCCCACGTGCCTTGCCGCATGGAGAACCACCCTGCTGATCTGAGAGCACTCGGGTTCCGGGCACGCTCATCCCCGCGGGCTTGTCATTTCCACCAACACCTCTCTAAACTACAAGGAAATCCAGCAATTTTTAATAGTGAGTGCAGAGAGCTGCCTTTACCCTAACTGAGCACTAGGTAGCACTGTCACTCTAAGAAAGCGGGAGAAGCACGTCAACACGGCAATTGTTTTTCACTTCCGAGACCAGAGCAGAAATTACTACTTTATCCGAATAAAACTCGTATTTGTAAAACTACTCATACTACAGCTATAGTTGCAACATTCTCATCCCTCTGATATACAAAGTGGGTTTTTTCTTTTTTGTTTCTAAGATCAGAATTTACGATCTTAAATCTTCCTAAAGCAATACTGCGATTTTGCACTGATGTTTTATGTTTGCAACCACTTGATGTAATAATGTACAATTAAAGATGGTGATGGAACACCTCCACAGAACGATCACTTAGTACTCAAATTATCTGGAGATCTAGCAAATGATCCCCTCTACCTGTCACCATCTTAAAAAAATAATAATCTGAAGGTGGCAATAACTAGCTGAACACAAGCCTCTTTACACAGTATAAGCACTGAACCCGGATTCAAGAGCACCAAAAAAAACGTGCTGGGTTTTTCATGACCTTTGCAACTTATTAGTAGTCTACTTCAGCAAGTGGTTCTGGACAGCTATGTACTGAATGTCACTGCTCCAGCGCGGTTCCCAGGAGGCTTCAGTTTGGTGGCATGCTCAGAAACCTTCTGCACTTTCCAACACCTTGAAATGCATAATTTTATTTATAGTCATTATTTTAGATTCAGCACTCAGCTTTTACTGCAGGTACACCATTTGTATCTGAAAGCTTATAGTCTCCAGAAAGGGCCTGACAGCAAATCGTATGTTGAAAGAGTCTTTCAAAGCTCATATATGGGAAAAGATATCTTTCTCCATTTCTAGGGTATGGAAGAGAAAAAACGCTGAATTTCCAACTTGAGCTGTAAAAGTCTCCTTCATCTTATCTGATGCACGTCCAGCTACTCCCAAACCCCAACTCACAGAACCACCACCTCAATGCAAGCTGATGGCAAAGCAAGGAGCATCAAACATCACAAATTGAGGGAAGTTTTCAACTTCCCTTCCCAAGGTTTGTGCTGGGTATTTGTACCTCGATGATGATACTGACATGGAAAAGCTAAAAATGAAAATCCAACCCTTTTGTACCCAGAAAAACAAAGTAATCTCTTCCTCCCCATTCACCCTATTGATAAATTCTAGACTTTCTCCATAAATACATTAAAACTTTCTGTTACGCCAGTGAAGATCCTCTTCTCGAGGAAACACATGCAGAATAAGCACACTGCAACAAAACCAGGAGCCAAACTATGTATTTGAAAACAGGAGCTGGTGTGGGATCGATTGCTCTACAGGTGCACCAGTGTGGAAGGGGCAGATTAAGCAGAGGTCCTGTACAACATGGGACAAATGGTCGCAATCTCTTCTTGTTGTCAAAGAGCAGAGAGATCATTGGGAAGCATTTCTTTCCCTTCTCTGGGAGCTATGCCTCAGTGCAGCCATTCCCAGGTTCATGTCTTGACTGCAGCAGAAATTGATACACAAGACACAATATTCAGATTTATGAGCTGCATTTGCATGTCGCTTTGAAGCAAGATGCTTGCTCACCATTAGAGGCTTACGTCCTACAGTTTGGGAATTTTTCCCTTACAGTTTGCAGAGGAATTTGTACAGCACTGAGCACAAACACTAGTAAAAAGATGCATTTACAGCCAAAAGAAAATCTACTTGTGCACCCTGGGATTTTGACCTTTTTCAAAATCTAGGACCATCTGTATTGAAGTGATTACTGTGAACAGACACAACACACATTTTCAAACATTTTGTTTTCAGTCCTTGCCTTACAAGCCACTTAAAATTGCTACTGCTTCTTCCTCAACTGGTGTGCTAACACTTCTGTGGTACATCATGGTACCATAAAAAAAAAAGAAAAAAAAAAAAGCTAATATTGCATAGGGTGGTATCAGTCTCATATTCTTCTTGCAAAAGGATCAGTTCTCCCCTGCATATCTCACTATCCACACTTGTGAAACATCACTCAGTCTCAAACAAGCCAGGAAATTTCTAGCCTTCTGAAAGTCAGACTTGAAATTCAAGTGCAGAATTAGCACAAAAGCCTTCTGCATCATTAGCTAAACTCAAGCACCTCTTTCAAGCACTATTTCTAGATCTTGGATAAGGTGAAAACAGATGATGATTTAGAAACCATAATTTCCAAAGGTACAGCTGATGCCACTGCAAGAACACATGTTCTGTAGGGCACAGGCATGTATCAAATCCCGCTGGAAAATTAGTTATAATGTTCTTCCTGTAAGTACATCCTTCTAAACTGGTCTGTGACACTGAATTGAGAGACCAGAGTTTAGAGTCTGTTATGAAACAGCAAGTACCAAACTAATTTTTTAGCACATTCTCAATAACTTCTCTCATTTGTGAGTATTTCCTAGCAGGTTTTCTGTTAATCTCCTTCTAATATTCTCATGCAAGATTTAGCAAGTAAACACTGAATAAATGTGCTTTGTAACTGTCTGAATAATTTCCTAGAGTACTACAGAACATGAAGGGACAAAGTATTTTGTAAGAGTATTTTTGCTTTCATAAACAAATTAAATCTCTATGAATTGACGCTGTAAATAATTAAGCATTATTCCATTAACTAAATTGGGAATAAGTGAGACAGAGTGTACATCTTCAGGAGAGCAGCATGTTTTGAAACAGATGATCGCACTAACAAAGAAGTCTCACAGAATAGCTCCAATTCATGTACCATATTTGTCTGCAAATGTTGATCCCATCATAAGGAGCACTGAAAACTGAAAAAAAAAAAAATCAAGGAAAAAAAATTCTCCTCATCAATATGTTTCACTATTCATTGACTAATATTTTCAAATGTACTAACAGTAAGTCGGACAGGGTCTCCTAAGCCCTTCCAAAGCCCAGTGCTTTGAAAACCTCCTGTTTTCCTGAAGTCAGTTCAACTGATACATCAGTTCCAGGAGGCAGTTTACGAACGGAAGCTTCGCAGTAGATATGTCAGTGTGTGTGTCATAACCTTGCTCACACCCCTCTCCTAAAGAGAACATTCTGAAAAAATAAAGGATAAATAAAATCCTTCAAAGGAGAGTGCATTTTCATCTGAAAAAGTAGATGGTGCTACATGGCACAAAATCTGCAGTCCTCTTACCCCAGGACTGCGACGACAGGAAAACGTCAATGTCAAAGAAGAGGGCAGGCGCAAGTCAACGATAAAAACAAGGACAGCAATCAAAAATACATTTGCTTTGAGATGATTATTTGGCTTTAACAACCTCACAACCTCTTGTCGAAGAAAATAAAGGAGACAGCACAGGAACAGCAAAATGAAGGAGACTTTTT